GCAAGCCACTCCCACAAAGGAGGCCACATCCACAGAGTAGCTTCGAACAATTTTTGAAACCCACCACTGGTCTGGATTGAGAGAGAGAACCTGCTTTCAAATCTTAATGGATGGACAGAGAAGTGGGATGTGGGGAAAGAGTTCTGCTGTTTTTTTCTCCAGCAGACCATGCCAGGAGATTTTTCCCCAGCTTCATTTGCCAAAATGGTAGACTGGTCCTATTGTACTTGTTTCTCCCAGCTATCACTAGAATCTTCTTTTCTTTAAAAAAAATTATAATTAAAACTATACAATTCTATATATGGCTACTCCAAAATAATTCTCACAAGTTAAATGCAACGCTCATAGACTCAGTCAGTCAGCCAGGATGTCAGTCTTTAAGATTCTTCTCACTGCTCTTAATGAGTTAAACAAATTTCACTTTGCCAATATGTTTTTCCATAAAATTAACCAAGAATCCAGGTCAGGTTCAATACAGTGGACCAGACAGGCTTACCAAAAGCTTCCTCTCGTCGCTTCTCTGTATTCTCTCTCTGTTTGCGCTCTTCCACTTGCCTCTTCAAGCCTTCTGTGTCCACCTTGACAGCAAGGGACATAAATGACCATGCAGCTTAATAGCAAAATAAGGTGAGGAAACTCCTCAGCAAATAGGATGCTCCCCTCCCACTTCATCCAACTGCTGTAAAAGCAAAGGTATCTTAAAGACTGTATATTATGGCAAAATAACAAGACCTGCTTTATCTAGGGCCATCATATCTAAAAAAATCTGAACAACCACTACATGGCAGCAATGAACAGTTGGGTTGGTCTTCAGGAAAGCACTGAAGACCTGGCTTTCCCCCCAAGTACCTGGGCTAAGATGTTGACAGAACTTTCAGAGGGTGATTGTGAAATGGTGATTGGGGTTTAACTTTATTTTAAATTGTTTCATTGTATTGTGTTTTTGTTTACAGTGCAAAAGTTTGTTAAAGACGAATCTGGCAGTTAAAAAAATAGTACTTTTCACCTCCTTTCAGGATTTGCCTTACTCTTTCAGATCACCTAAAAGGCCCTGTTATGTCTCTCATCATTAGAATTTTGCTTGGCAAGAGTCCCCTTCGGGGGAAAAGGGCAGCATATAAATATAATAAATGAAATAAATGAAACACATTGGACCTGATTTTTAACTATTTTCTTTTGCAGCTGGTGGTGAGTTATGTTTCAATATCTTGCTTTAGTGTATTTCAAAATTCCAAGTCTCTTGACTTTTCTGATGAAATGTCTTTAACTGCCAATTTTGCAATGTAAATTAAAAGTAGAAAATGATTTTGACTTAAGAATTGCAGGAACCAAACCAATTGTGGTTTAACATTTGTAAGGTGTTTAGTTTTATAATTTTAACAGAGTTTTCGATACTGTTTTAACTTTGGATTGAGAGCCAGCCAGAACTGGTTACAAGATGGGCAGTTACATAAATGTTTTAGATAAGTAAACTTTGATTAAACAATGGCTTTATGCTGTGTATCAACCCAATCTCTTTTTATTACACATTTTTGTGGAGGTGTAGTTCAAGCAATTCAATTTTGCATTAAATTTCATGATGCTAAAGGTAAAACTGGAGCCCTATTCCCTTCATATATTATTTCAATGAGTTCAACGCTAACAAAATCCAAATGGCATGCCACAAAGAAACCCATTTTCTCCATTCAAAATCCAATTCATGGTAATCCTGTACATTTATTCAGTTTTAGAGATCTCCAGCCCAAAGTGAATCATAGATTTCCATACACTGCCTTTACATATAAGTTCAAATGGAGTTTCTTAACCCCTTTTTTCAGCTTTCCACAATGCTGTATTTAAATCAGTACACCAAGGTTGTCATGTATAGAGTAGAATCAGAAACCCATTTCAAATCATGTTTGCTTGGCTTGCAAAGTGCACATTAAAAACTGCTTTCTGGATCCTTTTCAGATATCAATCCCAACAAAGCATATATGTAGTCAGTGGCTTCCCGTTGCACATCATCGACTGAACATTAATTTGTCTGCAAAGCCACGTTCATATTCAGGAAGATTAGCAAGCAGATGAATTCCTATCCCTGGTGAGCTCCTTTCCTGGGGCTTCCAGTGGAGGCACCCCTTTTCCCAATGGGTCTATTGTTGGAATTCATTCCGGGTGTTTGCATGCAGGACAGCTTCTGCTGTCTGAAACACACATACACAGGGATGCAAAAATATCGCATCAGAAACATCTTTCTGGCCTAACGGTCATAACTCACTATGCAGCCTCATGTAACAAGAACTATGAG